CATCTGCGACTGGCTCCTCGGGCTGCCATTGATATCCTCCACCTTCTCATTCGCTGAAAGAGAGGAAACCAAGAAACCGTCACCATCGTCCCGTCCTCAACTCTAACATCCAGTGACTCCAGGTGCCCAAATCCAGCAGGAAAACTACTCTGGAGGTTATCACAGGAATGTGTGTGTGTGTGTTTGTGTGTGTGTGGGAAGCAGCGCTGCGTAATTCGTCAGCTGCCGCCAGAGAATTACTGACAGGCTGCTCGGACTCATTGTCTGTTCAGGAGAGCAGGGAGGGTAAAGTTTCAATCACACACAGAGAGAGAGAGAGAGGAGGAGAGAGAGGAGAGAGAGAAGTAGAGAGAGGAGAGGAGGAGATGATAGCGAGAGAGGAGGATGACGGATGAGAGAGAGAGAGAGAGAGAGAGAGAGAGAGAGAGAGAGAGGAGAGAGAGAGAGAGAGAGAGAGAGAGAGAGAGAGAGAGAGAGAGAGAGAGAGAGAGAGAGAGAGAGAGATCTTTTACTCAAGTACAAGATCTGAGTACTTCTACTTTTACTCAAGCACAAGATCTGAGTACTTCTACTTTTACTCAAGTACAAGATCTGAGTACTTCTACTTTTACTCAAGTACAAGATCTGAGTACTGTGTGTGTGTGTGTGTGTGTGTGTGTGTGTGTGTGTGTGTGTGTGTGTGTGCGTGTGCGTGCGTGTTGTGTGTGTGTGTGTGTGTGTGTGTGTGTGAGAGAGAGAGAGAGTGTGTGTGATAAACAGAGGGAGTCCCAGATAGAGAAAAGGGTAGACCAGTAATATGAGACACAAAGAGAAAGTCTGACACAGAGAGTAAGAGTGTGTGAGAAAAGTATTCAAAAAACTAAAATGCTTCTCAACGACTGATTGTTTATTAATGTGTGATTAATACATTAATACTGGGTTCAACTAGCACTCAGTTTCAAAGGCTTTGATCGATTTAAAGTAGGGAATTATTGTAAGCAACTGTAGGTTAAACCAGTTCAATCAATTACATCTAAATATCCTAAAATTACAAATGAAAAAAGTGCCTTTAGGGGCAGAGAAGAAGTCACTAACCATGTTGACTGGCTCCTGCACGGATATGTAAGCGAATATCAATAAAGCATGAAGTTGATTGTCATATTTCATCTTTATTTAAGTGAATGATTCATGATGTTGGCCCACAGCCTCCACCACCACAAAACTCAACTACTGTTTTCAGATAATTGAAATGTTCACGTCGCTTCAGCTCATTAACTTTGTCTCTGCCGTTCGCCGGATAGAAACTGTTTCTTTCTCTCTAAGCTGGAAAAATCTGAATCTGAGTTTCTTTATTAGTCAAACAGCGGGGACATTTACGGTGTGACAGCAAAAGTGGCATAGCAGGTAAGAAAGGAAGCGATAACTTATTAAATATCCAGAAGAAAAGCACACAAAATGACGACAGATAAGTAGACAACCATGGCTAAACATGAGGAGCAGCAATTAAAAAAACAACTAAGCAGTAACATATTAAGGTGTGTAAAGAAATGTCCCAATGTAAAGATAAGATAAGATAAAATGTACTTTATTAATCCCAATTTGGAAAAAAATGTTGTTGCAGCAGCATAAAACAAAACAAGGCATTGCACATACCGCAGTACTTTTCCCACTTTAGTTCCGATATAGTTCCGAAATGTGCGTTCACACCCAAAAAATCCGGAACTTTCATGGGAGAAAAAGGTTCCCATTTCTGATTGGCTGGGCGGATTGCACACCACGCCCAGTAAAAAAGTTTTGTGAAGCCGCCATTTTATTATCCTCGCATTAGCATTATTAGCATTAGCATTAGCCCAGCACACCAACGGAGAGAGACTAACTTATGGCAACACAAAATAAAACATGGGAGCGGTGGAGATGAGGAGGTGTCGGCCTTCTGGCGATTTACTCGGAAGGCTTCAGTAGAAGCTGCTGGGAGTCCCAGCAGCTTCTACTGAAGCCTTCCCCAACTCCGGGGACTTCCGGCCGGGGACTCCGGGTGGCAGTATACGCCGTGAAGTGGTTTGCGGCCTGCCGGTAAACCCAAAGCAGAAGAAGAAGAAGTGACGTCAGCGGCTTCATTTGACTAATCCTCCCTCAGGGACTTATTCCGGTGTGAACACGATCTGAACTTAGTTCATGAGAACTAAAGAGTTCTCATGAACTAAGTTCAGATGAACCTTTGTGGGAAAAGTACTGTGGTGTGAAAGCGCCTAATAACAAATTAGAAATTCTAAAATATAGACATCTAAAAATAAAGATAGAAATAAACCAGCATTAGAGAGTAAGAAAAATATACAGATTACCGGGAAGAAAGAAAATCTATGCACTGTATGACAAATAAAAAAACCCTATTGAAGGTTCTGTTAACACAATATAAGCAGGATATTATTTACATAAAGTGTGCGAGGAAGGTATGTGTTTACATAAGAGTGGTTGTTGCATTTGAAACACAACCCTTGAATGTATCGCAGATCTGTGATCAGTGAGAGTCAGCATGAACATTTAGTGTCTGCAAGCTGCAGATTCATGACTGTGCAGGTTTATAAACGTGCACACAAATCACTTCTCTGTATGCAGACACAAGATGGAGTACACACACTCTGATGTGCTGCTGTTGCACTGAGGACAGTCTTATTGCACTAAGTCTACAATCTACACCTCCATCATACTCCTGGTTATACGGTGAACAAGCTTCCAAGATATCAGAGTAACTGTTACAGAGATAAGTCATGTGATCAGTCCCTTTTAATTGTAATCCCTTACTCAACACTCAATGAAAAAGAGTCACTGTAATGCGTTAGACCCTGTTTGTGCTGCGAAATGAGAGAAAAGGGACACAAAATGTAGGAAAATGAGCTAAAGACATGACGATAAGAGAGAGGAAGAGAGGCAGAGACCTAGAAAAGTTCCAGACGGAGACAAAGAGACATGATGAGGAGGAGGAGAGAGAGAGAGAAAGAAGAAGGGTGGTGTGTCACTCTGCACCCGGGGTGTCAGAGCTACAGATGTGACGCTCACACACCACCCAAACCACAGAGGGATGCTGAGAAATGCCCCAAATATCAAACTACTGAGATACAGCGCACAGCAATAGTGTCTGTGTGTGTGTGTGTGTGTGTGTGTGTGTGTGTGTGGTTCTTCATCTACCAGACATAATGCATTCTACACAGTGTTTTATCACATGCCGTTATAAATATTCTAACTGTCAAAGCACTTATATTTAAATCTGAAGTAAGACATTACGTAAAGTAAAGTATTCCAATTAAGGCGAGACCCTGAATACTTTTGTAGTGTGTGTGTGTGTGTGTGTGTGTGTGTGTGTGTGTGTGTGTGTGTGTGTGTGTGTGTGTGTGTGTGTGTGTGTGTGTGTGTGTGTGCGTGCATGTGTGTGTGTGTGTTAGATTCATCTACAAGACATAATGCCTTTATAAATATTCAGTTTAAACATTGATATTTACTGTAATTCTGAAGTAAGAGATTAAGGAGGTGTGACTACTTTTGTATTGTGTGTGTGTGTGTGTGTGTGTGTGTGTGTGTGTGTGTGTGTGTGTATGTGTGCGTGTGCGTGTGCGTGTGCGTGTGCGTGTGCGTGCGCGTGTGTGTGTGTGTGTGTGTGTGTGTGTGTACCTATGATCTGGATGATCTGGGCCAGCAGCACTCCATCAGTAACGTCCTGGCTCAGATCCTTGATGAGCCGCTGGCAGCCGGACTTCGCCAGGTAGTGATTCGCCCAGTCTGTGTAAATCTGCAACCAAACAACAACAGTCCCGTCAGCATATTAAAATGAACCCAAAGTATGACATTCAGAAGCAAAGAGTGAGCCAACATAACGGGACTTTCTACATTTTCTCAAACAAAGAAATTCACAACTTTCTGTCGTGATAAAAAACATATTTATCCTTTCATGACATGTTATTTACTTTTCTGTAAGAACTTCTTGTTATGTGGCATTTGATATGAAACAAAGCATTGCATGCATTGAGCAGAAAAGCATTTAATTCATTTAGATATGTTGTCAGAAAACATGGATGATATCGTGGATAACTAGGAGTCTAAAACTCCCCAAAACAGCCAAAATGATCTTATCTTCATCAAAAATAAAACAAGTAGATACACACAAGAGTATTGGGAAGGAAAGCTGAGTTTCAGGTTCGACCATGAATTCTAGTTTCTCTTTTCAGTCATTCATAACCTGATCTCTCTCCATTGCTTTCCCATATAATGTCTCTTTTTCCTAAAGTAATGCTTATTTATGCAACTCAAACGCAACTATTTCAGTACATAAATAGTCCAAGAAAACACTTTGACAAAGATGTGTAAGAAAGATGTTAATGTGACGGTATACACTGACAAATACAGTACCCAAAACAACCACCTGTTGCACACAACGCAGTACTTTGGTAAGCTCAAATACAAATAAAAACAACATAGTAGAGAAATCAAACCTGACACAAAACAGAACAATCCCAGATACTTCATTCATGATTTGAAGTAGTCAAGAGTAATGAATGAAGACTTCTCCTTCATCAGGAGGATTCACTTTCCTAACTATATTTCAAAACTCGGCCGAGCAGCAGGTCTGAAAGTCTTTGTTTTGTCACCTGAACCTCCGAACAGCCGCTCAGTCTTTCATTAGAGCTTAGCGCCGGATGATAATCGTCGCTTTGTCCGCATCGACTGACTGCTCTGAACAGCTGTTGAACTTTCACTGAGTCCACAGACAGGATCCACGAACATAAGCATCTACTGAAAGACTCAGATTATTTTGTGTACGAATGGATCAGTTCTCACACGCGAACTTGCGGGTCAAAGTTGATGCGAAGGCTTTGTTATTTTCTCTTACAGTAAGTCACCAAAGTTTTTAAGATTTCCTTCAAGATTATAATGCATCCCTACAAATGTGGAAAGGGAGTGTTTGATAAGAGTTTCTACGTACAGATGTGGAGAAACTTCTTTATTTTTGCTGCCTTAATCTTCTACTAAATTATTTGGTGTTCAAATAAATCAGTTTTCACACAAGAGCAAGCGGGTCAAAGAAGCTGTGAAGGCTGAGTTAAGTTTTCTTAAATCACTTAAAGGTGGGGTAGGTCATTTTGGAGAAACCAGCTCGAGTGTGCTAGAATTTGAAAATACGCAGCCGGAACAAATCTGCCACTTCCTTACAGAGCCCCTCCTCCAACACACACGAACGCGCACATGACCAATGAGGGCACGAGATAAGTTTGTGCACAGATGGAAGGCTGACAGGCAGGTAGGCCATCTAGTTATTTTAGCCGGGCCGGCTCAGATGATTGGTCGTGCTTTTTACAGTACTACAGCTTCCACAGATGACATTTTTTTATGTATTTATTGTCAAAGCATTTAATATATTCATTGCTATCGGGATGTTAAGAGCATTCTATGGAATATAACAAAAAGTGTTTCTGAAATAAATTACATACCCCACCTTTAACCCTTAGTTGCATAGGTGAGTCTTTTTGGACCCGGTGAGGTGGTTTTCTTGAAGTATCTTTGTAATTAATTTTTTTATCATTTCATATTCCAGCTATTCCTCAAAAAACATGTTTTGGATATCATGCCATTCTAATTTTAAATTTACATTTTAAGAAATTGTAGTTTTTGTATTAGTACCCCAAGCTTCCATAAGTGGGTCAAAACTGACCCGCATGCATTTTCTATGGAATCCTACAGTATGGGAAAACGTTTTTTGTAAATTTTTCAAAATGTAAAAGACATTTCTAAAATTATAAATAGTGAAAAATTAAATATAAAATATTTCTAGTGTGAACCAAAATATAATACTAAATATTATACAAGAGATTTTTCTTAACCAAAATGACAAAAATGGCATAAAAACACATATTATTCTAATACGGGTCCTTTTAGACCCACTTACAGTATGGAAGAGTGTAGGGTCCAGTCACTCGTGCATCTAAGGGTTAAGTTATTTAAATTTCCTTCAAGATCTCTATCACAAAGAACCACTGGATTATAATGCATCCCTCCAAATGTACAAAGGGTGTGTTTCTACGTACAGATGACGAGAAACATCTTTCCTCCTGCAGGAGTTGAGGATCTGGGACTAAAAGAAAATCTTTACGAGCCGATATAAAGACTATCTGCTGCCTTAAACTTCTATTAAATTATTTGAGGTACAAATAGATCAGTTTTCACACACAAACTAGCGGGTTAAAGAAGTCGTGAAGGCTGAGTTAAGTTTTCTTAAATCGCCAAACTTTTCACGATCTTCTTCCAGACAAATTTCCACGTAGAGATGTGGAGAATCATCTTTATTCCTAGAGGAGTCGAGAATCGGGGACTAAAAGAACATCTTTGCCATTTCCTATATTGCTTATCATAAAAAAGCAGGCGTGAGAAGCATCTGCTCAGAAATGATGGGTCTTTTTTATGTAAAGAAATCCCTAACTGTATAGCGCTCTACATTAGTAGTCAAACTGCACGGTGGTATTTCAATCTCTTCCACAGATGAATCTGTTTAAATAAAAACATGCTTTGGGACATTTCTCAGGGAATACCCTCATAAAACGTGTTCCTCATGATGAAATAATCATGATTTCCCCTCATTAACCTCAAACCGCTCACAATTAAAAGCGTTTTCTCTCCCGCTCTTTCTCTGTTTTCTTGGAATAGAGACTCCTTTAAAAGACGCCGCCTCTCATAACTCTGGATCTGTGGTGGTTTCAGAGCCACTTTCTCCATGAGAGCCACTCAAATCTGCACATCTATAAACACACACAGGGCTCACTTACACGGACACAGAGGAAAACACACAACTCTAACGAAACCACATCCCATCGGGGGGGAAGTAAACAAACAGGATGATGGAGAAAGTGTGTGTGAGAGAGGGATAAAAGTGTTCTGCCCTTACTGACATCTCCAGTCACGTTACAAAAGAGAAGATTAACGTAGAAGGAGAAAGAGAAAAGACCTCTGCCTCTTACATCCAAACTTAGCGTGAAAGCTAACTTAATGTTAAGGGAATCTGCAGTGAATGAATATGTGTTTTTAGCACTGCTTTTATGCTAATGTTAGGAGTAAAGTGCAACTCAAGAAAGAGTTAGAGGCTTTCCAAGTTGGAAATGAAATATATGACAGGATAATGGAAACACACTTACTGTTTCCAGGAAATCAAAGAGGCCTTTCAATCAAGAAAGAGGATGTAAGTGATGCATACCCCGAGAGGAGGGTGTGATATGTGTAGCTACATAGCGGCTAACACTGTACATAAAACATCCTGCAGCTCAGACTGCGTTTGCATTTAATTTGGAGAGTTTTAATTCATGCTGCTTGGGGAGGATTAGCGTTCACTACAACAGGCTGTAAGTAAACCAAAGAGACTTTAAACACTGCTCTGGAATAAGCTCTGCATGTAGGAAATCAATTAGGTATCAATACGTCTCTCAGGGGTAATAATGAAACCTATAGTGCTGATGAAAACATCAACAAAAACGATAAAGCTACGTTCACCTACTTTTGGAAATCTTATCTTAATCTAACCATGTACAGATGAACAGAATACATTACATTACATGTCATTTTGTTAGACGCTTTTATCCAAAGCGACTTACATACTCAATACAGTGGGCAATCCCCACAGGAGCAATTTGGGGTGAAGTGTCTCAGGGACACAACGACATGCTGACTGCAGTGGGGTTTGAACCTGTGACCCCCTGATCCGAACACCAAAGCACAACCCACTGCACCACACGCCTAATTCAATCATAATTTGAATTCCCTCTTTACTGGACTGTGGGAAAGCGCTGAGTCAGCTATATTTTTCTTGTTTTGGTCCAGACTTTAACGGACATGACAAAGCTTCTAGCCAAATAACCTTCACATTGCTTGTTTTAACCCTTTATATATACAGTCTATGGTTTTAACACACAAATCAAACACATTTCCATGAACCAATCTGCAAAAATAGTAATGAAGGTACAACGACAACACTTTAAACGGTTGAGGAAAGTGAGAACCACAAACGTTTAAATCTAACATCAATTTGAAACATAACAAAGCAAAAACACAAATGAGTAAAGAGCGGGAGAAATGCAATGCTGAGAACAACAACAACAACAACTACAAGTCGTCCTGTTCTCACACCAACCTCAAATTAACCCTCAAAGTAGGGCTGCTCGATTATGGCAAAAATCATAATCTCGATTATTTGGGTCAATAATTGATATCACGATTATTAAAAACGATTATCCATTTACTTTGAAAACATCCATTTATTGAAAAGAAAAATGTGAACAGTATGTATTTCGATTATGTTGTTTTCATTATCGTTGCAAGCCAAAATCGTAATTGCGATTCAAATACGATTAATTGAGCAGCCCTACCTCAAAGCTTCTTCGCATTTATTGGTTAAACACACAAATCAAACACATTGCCAGTCACCAATCTGCAATAATAGATAAACAATGAAGGTAGAATGACAACACTTTGAACAACTGCAGGAAGTGTCAGCCACCAATTCCCCAAACTATTAGAAATATTAGAAGTAAAAAACATACATGTAGTCGAGGATGAGAAGAACTACAACTACTTCCTGTTCTCACACCAACCTCAAATTAACCCTCAAAGCTTCTTCGCATTTATTGGGTAAACACACAAATCAAACACATTGCCAGTCACCAATCTGCAATAATAGATAAACAATGAAGCGGTTGTGGAAAGTGACAGCGACTAACTTCCAAAACAATTAGAAATATTAGAAGACACACA